TCTGGCGTCGAGGACATGACTGCTCGCCTGAAGAACTTGTCGTACTTCAACTCGCCACGCACTGATTCAACTACTGTTCCGGCCGTTTTTGAACCACATCATCCGTGTGCAACACTTTCCATTTAGGCAGCCTGGAAGAGGATACCCAGTGATCATCTTCCATTTGGCTATGCCTGAAGATGCGCTTGAGAAGCTGGCTATAGCGAGGAGCTCAGGGTTCACGCGTAGGGAGCACGCTCTGCACCCAGGTACGTGTTTCGTCAAACACGGAGACCGGAGACCCGAAAGTGCGAAGACTCAGGCCAGTGACAACCGGATATGGTTTGTGGAACTGCAGGTTGCCAAAGGCGCGGTAAACCCAATGACCCAATGGCTTCGCTTGGTTGAACACCACATTCACGTGACAGGGAGGCCGCCCAGTTCTGCGATGCAGTGGTTTCGATTCAGTGAGATGTTGAGCCATCCAGCTTTGAAAGGCAGGGCACACGGGCAGCTTATGGCTGTCATGGGCGCACGGGGAGCAGCTCACGTTGTGACACGGTCAGGTCTGGAGATTCTTTGGGATGTCTCGGAGTCCCTAAGGGATGAGGCCGCGGTTAGCAGATCTCCATGTGCCATGAATCAAAAGACGGTGAAAGAGGGAGACGGTTCTTTTTTCTGCCCATTCTGAAGTGGAGAACACGACAGGATCCTATTCCAGCCTTGTACAAGGCTCGATTGGCACCAGCTGCATGCTGGAGGCACGGCCATTTGCAGGTCTTTGAGGCCAGTCGAGTCATAGCTGTCTCTAGAAGATATTTGCAGGCAACCGATGCAGGCCCCCTTGAGCCGCGCACCAAATCACTGCACCAGCACATGCCCGACTGGCTTGGGTGGGACGTCACACACGTATACGAACGTGTTGATGCAAAGGTGTTCTGGGACACGATTGGTGTATACTGAACAGCAGACCATACAACAAAGCACACAGCCAACGCATTTTCGGTCATATTGTGCTTTTTGCCTTACTTCTTGTCGACTGAACGAGTAACGAGGCTATCGAAGGGGTCGTCTCGAAGAAATCACGGAGCTCTTTCTTCTACACCACGGCAAGGACGCCACATTTCGTCTCCGCGTGTCTCATTTGAGCCAAAGCAGTTGAACACCAAGGCAGCATCCACAGCTCTATAGAAAAAATTGACAGATCCTTTCACAAAACCACTCTGCAAGATTTTGCAGGGCATGACTACAAACCATCAAAAGATATGATATGAAAACCCTTCCAACATGAATGTAGACTGTCGATGGATTACTCCCCTTGGCCTTTGCCTGTAAAACCCGAGTCTACCGTTCGGCTCCTGGGAAGAAGCTACTAGGAACAAGTGCATCGCTAGTAGTAACAAGTGCCTTACTAGTAGTAACAAGAAGCTATTAGCTTATTGTTTCTACGTTCGCTTCTTGTTACTACTAGTAAGGCACTTGTTACTACTAGCGATGCACTTGTTACTACTAGTCTACATGAGCGTTCGGAAGGCATTCAGCTCCCAAGTGACTTCAACCAGCACTGTCTCTTCCAGCCAACGCACGAAAGGAGTGGAGGGACTTCGATGCAGCCGGTGGAGCCGCTGGGCCAAAACGCCAAATCGAAGCAGCTTCTCCGGAAAGGGCACTATAGAGTATTCCTTTCGGGCATTTTTCCGGCGGTTTCAGGGGAATTTCGGGGATGTGGATGACTTTGCTGATGATGTGTCAGATTGCAGATTTTCATTTAACCTAGCAATGAGCAACACATATGCAGAACATGGTTGAAGCACAAATTGATCTACCAGAACATAGTCTTCGGGTTCACCAGCAACGAACCAACTGCGCAAGCAAACAAGCAGTTATGGAAGAAAGCACGCGTTCGTCATTCAATTCTTCCTTGTCTTGAGTCTTGAATTCTTTTTATGTGACAAGGTCAACCTACTCACAGGCATGGAGGGCCTCTACTTCAGACACTTGCAGGATCATAGCAACAGAAAGACAGATTTCTTTGTTTAGACCATTCAAGGACTTTGCTGAAAGGGTACTAGGCTGAGTCTCTGAGTCGCTCTGATGATATGGAATTCTTTAGTTTAACATCGACAGGCGTGACCAGTTCCAAATGCCCGGTTTGGCGGAGGACGCACGTTTGGTAGCTGAAGAGACTGGCAGTGTGTGAACAGAACAGGAGATCTTTGGCAACATCAGAAGTCTTCAAGCAGTTTGTGAGGCAGGGCAGTGTCCAACTTTAAGATGAAGTACCGAACTCCCTTCTTTCTGCTGCCCCCTCTTCCTTCAGACTGCTCGGCAAAATCTAACTCTTCACGAAGTGTCCTTTCAGCAACCCTTGCGGACCCTTGCGGTTGCCTCACCGCTGGGTGATCGAGGTTCTTGGAAGATCATGCAGTTGGCATCGACACACCATATGACGTTGAAGCAGTCCGCATGGTGGGAGCTGCTGTGACCGCCTTCCTGACGCGAGGTGGTTCCACGCGTGCATTGACTCTTGTCTAAGATGGGGAAGACAGTCCAACTGCTCAAAGAAGAGCGTGTTTTTGCAAGTTTTTGGCTGTGTTGTGACTAGGACGTTGGATGTTTGTTTGCTTTGTTTCATTACTTTTGCTTTGGATTTCTACTGTGAAATCTGGCAATTTTGCCACATGAGTGATGTTTGAAATGACCGAAGTGGCAACAAGTAACAGACTTGATGTGGACCGTGAACATGTTCAGCTGAAAACGAAGCGACACCACACTCACCCAAAGAAAAACACGACAACCCCCGCACCAGATTCCGACTGGATGCCCCTTTTTCTTATTTTCTTTATGCAATAAGTCCTGGTCCCCAACATGCACCAACACTGCCAAGCAGCCTGAAACATCAGCCTTCACCAAGGTTACTGACTTGAAGCACTTGAAAGGGATGAACAACTCCATTTTTCGCAGCCCAGAGATCAGCAAGACCAACATCTCGGACACAGCGCACAGCTCCACACTGGTGGACCAGTCCTCGACGCGTGACGCAGAGATGCGCAGCGCATGAGATGCCCGTCAGAAGCCAAAGGCCTTTGCAGAGCAGTCTGAAGAGAAATTGCAGGGCAGTTCGTGTCTTCGTGTTTCTCGGAGATGCTTATGAAGTTCACCTTTGGCGAATGATCATTCTGAATCAAGATCCACATCGATATGCAGCATAGATATGCCTGCTGCTGTGCTCCTAATCTGATGCATTGGCATGCCTCGCACGTCTCAAAGGAGGCTGCACAGCCAAAGCAGCATTGGCCTCTCACTAATAAAGTGGTTTCAGTCTCACAGCGAAATGGCCGTCCATGTCACTGCCAACCTATTGTATTGGTTTCGATCTTGAGACCTTCCTCCTCTCTTGTGAGGCTTCGATGGAAAATTCGGTGAAGCATTATGAGTGCAGACCTAGAGATTTGCACACACACACACACGCATTGCATTGAAACATGGACAAGATCAACTTGAACGTTGAACGGACCAAAAAAACATGGAATTATCACAAAGGTTCTCAGATTGCAGCGTACTTTGATTTGGGTAAGACAAATATCATTGTAACATATTGTGACCAGTTTACATTGCTGTCCACCAAATGACTAATTGGACCAAATGCGTATGAAAGAAAGCATGTCCAGCTTGACCTGAACCCGGGCCAGCTGGAATGCCCTGGAATACCCCTGATGGTGGCCTTTCTGAATGCTCAGATGATGTTGCAGCGTTTCCAACCAGTGCAGGACCCACTATAATAATCTATAATATGCCCAAAGCTTTCCGTGGGTGCCCTGGCGTTGGGATCGGGGTAGATCGTGAACCACTGAAATGGCGCGAATTGCCTTCTGTATTTATTTATTGATTTCGGAGCACCCAGGGTCGTGTGCTTTGGCTCAAATGATGGAAACAGTACAACAGAGCATTGACTGGACTGGACTGGTCACTCTTAAACGTTCACGCAATGTTAAAAGATAAACATATATAAACTACATGTTTTCAGTCAGTCACATCGAGCAAGTACTTGGATGCAACTTTACCAGGGGAGTCGCTGGTGTTTTCTGTTAGACGTCTACCCAGCGGAGTGGTCTACCAGACATCCGTGGCATGGTCTACCAGTCTACCAGCAGCAGCAACAACAAGAGCCACAACAACGAGGAGCAAGAACCAACCAACCAATTAAAAACCAAACAACCAACAACAACCAACAACCAACCGCCACCACCACAACACTACCACCATCTCCCATGATCATTGGACCCTTCTCAGGGTACTCCCAAAAATCGATCAACACTTAACATGAAGATGCATAAGCACCATAAAACTCGAGCCACACCCAAACTAGCAGCCTTTGCACACCATTGTTTGGGGATCCGCTGTACCCCTTGACATGCCATGTCGACTCTCAGCGCCGCGGGTCGGCCGAAGCGGCAACGGAAGCCGCGCTCTGCGTCCACAGTCCGGTGTGTCCACAGTCCGGAGATATGCAGCAGAAGCCAAGAAAGCTCCACCCAGGTCTGGTGGATCTGGCAGCCACAGTAAATTACACCATTTGATATTAAAATGTATAGTACTCTCCCTTCCAATATCATACGCTCTTTTTTAGCCCATTCGGAAATTTGACACCGTTTTGCCTTTGTTTTTTTTTTAAGTCTTCTTTTTTAAATTCTTTGGCAACCCAAAGGTGCTACCGGTTTGCACCGAGAGCTGCAAGTGGAGAGTACGAACCATGCATTAAATTACATTACGTGCTACGGGTATTCTTCTTTCACTCCAAGGTTTCTCTGAAGTCCAATGTGTTTCTTGTGACTTTTCATCCATTTCTTCTTCTATTGCTCGGTATAGAAGGATGATATACACCATTTCTTGCATTTTGAATCAACCATCATCAAGTTTTTGTACCCCAGCAGTCCATGCATAGCGGGTGTACCGAGGGTACTGATGCGTCCAGGTCGCCATTGTTGGACTTTCAGCTGGACTTGAGAGAGGTGAAACACATGGCACCACATGTCCTGGGATCGGCCGTCGCTTCCGCTGGGGCAGGCCCACTCTTTTTGAGTCCTGAGTCGTTGGCATTCTGTGAGCCCTGAAAGCACTTTGAAGGTATGCAACGCACTTTGAGTGCTTAAATAATGCTGACTATAACTGTTTAAATCCTCATTTCCTTCTTGGAAAGCAGGTGTGTCAGTGTCACAATCACTCTAAGTGATGTCTTGTCTCACCTTCGAAAGGCCAACACACGTCTCCGGCGCTTTGGAAAGCTTACGGTGCCCGAGCTTTGGAGTTGCGCAAGCGACTGACTCCACGGGATGTTCGTCGCATCTTGCAGGGCCATGCCGCTGCTGGGATCCAGGTGCGCTGCCGCCGTGCACCCGCTCGGCCTGTCGACCGCGACCAGTGGTGCGCCAGTGGTGCGACCGCTTCGCATATGATAAGAAGAATCAATTTCAGAATATCTTTGTGACAAGAACCCATTTATTTTTGGATCATTTCAAAGCACTTTCTTGAAGCGCTTGAAGCACTCCACCACGACTGCGTCAGTTGTGCAGGATGTGGCCCTCTTCCAAGATTTGCTGCAAGCTTCATTGCCAGATCGCAATGCCTCAGAAAAAGACCTTTGTTCCATGGCGATTTCGCTGGCCAAGCTGAGGAGAGAGAGCCGAGAGTGATCGCCGTGTTTTGCCGCATGGGGACGGCCCAAGCTTAGGGGTGAACTGTGATGAAGTTCCTTTGACCTGTTCCAATGGCTGGATGGCTGCTTTTGGACGCAACGAAAACGAAACTACGCAAATAAAATGTGTTTCAACAAAGGATACATCTGAACATGTTTCCAATTTGATTTCTTCTTTTTCCAGATGGCGATTCTGTAGACCCTTGCCCAAACGAAGAAAAATGCTTACGCAATGCTCCAGGTGTGGCACCGAAAGCTTGGATCCGATTGCAAAGGAATTGGACGAGCGAAGCGACAGCCGACTTGGTGATTTGACCAGCACCGACGTGAGCAGTTTGGCGAATGCGCTTTCCAGGGTCTCCGCCTCCTCCAACCAAGCTGGTCTCCTGCAGAAGTTGGCAGACCGCCTGTGTGCAGACGCATCATCCACTCTCCTTCCGCCGGTTTCGACGACGATGGCTCTCAATGCCTTTGCTGTGGTGAAGCACTGTGATTCGCAGCTCTTCAACATCCTTGTAAGCAACTCCATAAGGACTCGAGTCGAGAGTCGAAGCCTGCTGACTTGTTGTTATCTTTTGTTGACTCAGAGATCAACATGATCAAGCGAAATACATCCAACTACCTGGATGGCGTAGAGTTTCAATCGAAACAAAGTGATCTCCATTTGTTTTTGTCCAACACACCAGATGTGTTTTATTCAGAGTCACCCTCCCGATCACAAAAATTGTGTCGAAGGGTTGGTTGATGTCGGTTGTGCAGGCCCTGTATCTCAGACTTCACCGTGACTCAAGCGGCCCTTGCGGTTGATGCGCTGGCCCGCTGTTGCCCGGTGACACTTGGCGATTTCTTTTTTCGCTTCGCGATGCTTCGCGTTGGTGTTCTTGGTGTGTTGGGGATGGGAAGAAAATGGAAGAAATCGTCTCGAGCCAGAGCCTGGGCTCGTGACAAGGTGAAGAATACAGAGACAATCATAGGTGGGTTTGGTAGGGATCCCCCCCACCCATGGGTTGTGGTTTACTGTATTTTCCTTCTTCAGGTGGTTTAGGCCTCCCTATTCAAATACACAACCAGGCCAGGTGTTTTGGGTCTCCTCCGTTACTTTTCGTCAACGAGGCCGCGGAAAAAGAAGAAAACGCATCCAAGGACTGAGGACCTGGCGACGGAGGCCTTTCGATGCTTTGTTCAGCACTGGCTCTCGCAAGGGCTTTTGGATGAAGCAGAACCGGAGGACTTGGCGCACCTCGCGAATTCTGCGGTGAAGCTGAAGATCTTGGAGGAGAGGGAAGCTAGCATCCACGATGCCAATTGATGCCAAAATATATGGAGGGATAGTCAAAATTCCAATGTATATTGTCGAGTGTTCTGTTGGACCCTATATATAGGATTAGATGGACAAGCGCCCACTCACCAAACCGACATGGTTACTCACCAAAGTTCCAAAGCTTCTTATGGGAACAGTTATATAGTTTGACACTCCTTATGCATGAGACAAAACACAACACAGGATTTCAAAAATTCAATGCGTGCAAGCACGAGTTCACAAGCTGTTGAAGGAAGGGATCATGCTTTGATTGCTTGTGCCTTTTGGTGGCACGGTTTTTCCAACGTCATATTAATGCCATTTTGACTCAGATTCTGCGCGCAATGGTTGCAAAGATGACAGTCAATGACTGAAACAATGAACAAGAACACATTCTTTCCCGGGGCGAGTGACAACAACAGCAGCTTGTTGGATGGACGTGTGATCTTCGGAGGGGAAGTCTTTCGACAAAGAGCGGCTGAAGCTGGTTGTTGTTTTTTGACAATGCTGCAAAAAGCTTGTCTACTTGGGACAAAAGTTTACCGTCCGTCAATTGAGGTGCTGAATGTGTTTTAGCGATCCTTTCTTGTTTACCTTTTCACTACACCCCAGAGTGGCAGAGTGGGTCTAGAAGCGGAAGTCTCATGGAGATTTCGCAATGGTATCATGCACTTCCTGAGATTGTGAGTAACAGTAACAGCGCATTTCGATTTGTTTGTGGATCCGCGGTGCAGGATTTTCTTCCACCACCCATATTGCAAAGCTATTGGGTTAGTGAGCATAGGGAGTCGTTTTTGGGTTGGCACCCCAGGAGGAGGAGCTGAACCAGGTTTTAGCAGCTGCGGGTCTTCGAAATCTTAGCCGGTTCTCAACACCGCAATTGGCGATGTTCTCCAGCAGTCTGGCACGGTTACCGAGCACTGGCCGTGAGGCGTTCATGAGTGTGGTGGCGTTGCGGATTCTCCCACAAGCTTTGCGAAGTTGCTGCTTTGTAGATCTGGGCTTGATCTTGCAGGCGATGGCAACGTGTGACATCACCCTTACTAGGGATGTGGCTACTCTTTGTCAGAAAAGGCTCTCAGAAGTTGCAAAGGAAGAGCTTGCAGATTTGGCAGCCAACAAGCAAGCCAGAGATGCTTCATATGAAGCAAAACTCAACAGCGCTGCAGCTGCTCTGGAGCGGATTTCAGAAGCATCCTTGAAGGTGTTTCTCATCGATTTCGAAGGTCTGCCAGGGTTGCTGGCTGCACTTCGGCCCCTGTGTTTGGAACTCTTTGCCCAAAAGGCACTCCGTTTGAGAACCGCCGCGGCCTTGCTCTCCATGCACGCCCAGCTGCGTTTGCGTCTGGACTCCGACCTCTCCGCCGCGCTCGACGCGGCCGCTTCGGTGTCCACCGGGGCGGGGTCCACCGGCGACAGCTCCGGCCGCGGCGTCGCTTCTCCGGTCTTGGCGGGACGACTCTTGCGGGGCATGGCACCAGTGGGACATCCGGTGAAGTCGCTGATGCTCATCATCGACCAGAGCTTCACCTCATCCCGTGGCTGGCAACGGACCTTGCCGGCCCTAGCGGCAGACCTCTTTGCTGCAGCTTTGCTAGACTTTGCCCACCTTTCCGAGAGCACGGTGAACTCCTTGCTTCAAGCAGCGAAAGTTCACTGTGAAAGCTTGGTTGCTTCCTCGAATGCATCGATGGATTCCACTCTTCAACTGAAGTGTGCCAGTGAAATCTCAGCTGCGAGCCATGCTTGGCTTCGACACGAGGCCGAGGTTAAACAACTATAGCCTAAACTGACAGGGTATGCAAGACCTCTAGAGTACAGCATGAGATGGGTATCTCACCAGAGACTGAGTTCATGAAGGCCAAGACCTCTTTACGCGTTAAAGATCTTAAAACCTTTAGCGTAAATTAGCACACTTAAACCATGCGCGTAGGCGTCCCAGACGGTGGTTTCCATGGCGCGCTTGCTCGTGCAGCGGATTTGACAGGTGCAGAATCCTGGCGATGCCATGTGGTTGGCAGACTGGGCTGAGGAGGCGACATGGGGTGACTCACAAGGATAGACTTAAGCCTCAAGCGTTGTGTTTATAGAGTTCATATGAGTTCACCTTGCCTAGCATCTTTGGTAGGCAACATGCTTTTAGTCGGCTTGGGGGAGAACTCATTGTCTCAGAATTCGCCTCGTACGAACAGCAAGCATGTGGTGCAACTTTGTAGATAGCTCTTTAAGCGCTCCACTGAATGAGCTCCGTGACTCAATGACTAGCCGTCGAGCCAGGTCTTCTCTGCTGCCAATGGGCCACAGCATGACTTGGTGCCACCAGTAGACCGAGGACTCTTGCGATCAGTCTTTGCTTCCATGGAACCCTCTGAGGCCAGAAGTGGGCCAACTTTGCCGCCCGCTGTTGAAATGAACCACCACTTCATCAGATCGATCAACGATACAACATGATAAAACGATAGACCACTACAGTAGTAGAGATATCAAACGGACCAGCTGTTCAAAAAAAGTGTACGCGTGACGGAGATGAGCTGAAGGCACACAAAACAGAAGACTCTAAAGAAAGAACATCCTGATGCTAAGCATCTTGAGGCTATTTTAGCCACAAACCCAGCATCGTGAAGTATCATGTTCAGGTCGAGCTCTTGGCCGCGTGGCCAGTGCAAGGCTTTCGAGCTGACCTCGTTGTGCGTTTCCAATCGCAGCTGGTAGCCATCAATGTGAATGGCCCAGAACGACGCTTGGTTCAATCGGGGCTGCCATTTTTTTCCACATCAGGGGATGTATGAAGATGATCAACATGGCAAAACGGAGGACCCTGCCAAGATGGCGTTTGGTCTGGTTTTTGATCTATCTGCACAGGTCTCTGTAGCGTTGTGCACCCAAGTGATGCCGCAGTTTTGCCAGAGTTGCGACTCATTTGAGGCTTCTATGCTGGCACTCAAGAGCCTTTAGCATCCTGCGGCCTGCGCACCGCTGCATTGGCTGCGTCAGGGGCAAAGGTGTGTGAGGTGCGTTTGCAACAAGAGTCGCAAACATCAGGGTTGAGCATTTTGTGTATTTCTTTAACACACCGTGTTGAGATGTCTTTGAAGGCAAGTATGCATCTGCTGATGCTGCATTTATCATTATAGTGTAATGCAGTGCTTGGAAGAACAAACATGGCTTTGAGATAGTGACAATTGCTTTTGAGCTTACAATCCTGATGTCTACTGCATCCCGTTTTGAGATGGCGTGTCTTATTCTTGTCAAGAGTAGTCTTTGTGGCTGGTCTTCACCAGTCTCGGTCGTTGGAATCGACTCCGTTGGGACTCCGTTGAACAGGTGAACTTCTGGGAGTGGCCCACGGAGCCCGCGGAGCAGCGTCGCTGGATGACGCAACGCTTGGACGAAAAGGGACGAGCATCTCCACGCGGCCCGAGTGGCCAGTTGTGCCCGAGAAGTTCCCAGGTGGGCCGGGCACATCCAAACAAGTCTTGTATTTTTATTTTCTGCCTTGTTTGGATGTGACCAACTCGTGATCAGCATATGACAGAAGATGGTTGAAGTCATTGTGCTACCGAATGGCGGATGAAAACATGGCTGCGCTTCATCATCGGCTTGATCGCCAGCTCCAAAGCTCAAAGCGTAAGGATGTTTCCCATACTCTAAAAGTGATCAAAAGTGTCAGTGGCATATTATCTAAAACACATACAATCACACTACCAACTTCAGGACATTGTTGCAGTCTCACGTCACTCATGACGTGTTGATCACCTCCAAAAGCACGCCAATGCAAGGAACTCCAGTTGCACCAGTCACAGTTCTACTGCAGGTGAACCACAGTCCGAGCAATTAGAAAAAAAGCCATTTGCAAAAGAGCTGCAGTAGGTTGCAAGCATGCCTATCACAGATCGTTGTAGCTCCCATCGTTCATGACACAGTTGGCGTTGCATCGGCATGGCCGGAGCCCAAGGGAATAGCCGAATAGCCGGAATAGCTGTGCTGCCCAGACGAGAATCGCTGTAAGCTTTAAACCTGACATATTGGGCCAAACCTGTTCAATATTCAATATGCTTCAATCAATTTGGTGCCCTTTGAGACTCACGGACATGCGTAACTTGACAAGGGCGCAGGCTTGGCTCAGGCTTGGACCCCGTGCAGGATCTCCCTAGAGAGCCATGATTGTCCCATTGTGGTCTTGGATCGCTCTCGTGCTTTGCAGCCCTTCTTGTTGGGCAATGGATGAAGAACCGGATGCCAACTCAGAACAGAACTTGCCAAGCACTTTGACCTTGTTAAACCTGGCGAATGAGGTCAACGAATCGGAAGCAGTGATTGGTACCCCGGTGAACAGCCCTTGTTCCAGTGTGGACTTCTTCGATGCGCGTGCCGAGTTCGAGAAGAAGTCGTTTGAAGCTGAAATGGCCCAAGCAATGGCACAATCCAGGCTCGAGGAGGAACAACGGCAGAACGAAGAAGGCAGGGACCCACAGGCCGCTTCATCCAGTTCCGGCAGTGCGATGGCTGGCAGTTCTGTTGGTCAAGCCGGTTCTGATGCTACCAATGCTGCTGGTTCGCTTGCGCCCCCTGTGCAGCCAGTGCAGGAGTTGTATCCTGTAGGCTGCTACCTTCGACTTCTCCACCTGACCGGATGCACGCACTCCACAGCTGGAGACTCGAGCGCAGATCCTCCTCAGTCCAAGAAGACGCGAAGCAGACCGAAAAGGGGAGCAGAAGTATGTGTTGTGGCGGCTTGCAGCACATCAGGTGGCCCACCCATCATAATCCTCGGTGGTGGACAGCCCGAACCTCCCTCCACCTTCAACGGCTTCCATGAAGAAGATCGGTGCTACCGAGCGTGGTGCCATTTGATTCTTGTCTTGTATGCACATTTGTGTAGTTTTTGGTCCCAACAAGACTTAATTCTTTTGGGTTGTAACAAGTGGGGTGGAGTGGGTGTGCCATTGTTCTTGCACACCCTTTGTTCGATTCTTTCGCCTCACACAACATGTGCCCCAAGGAACCGTGTGCACCACGCACGGTTGATGTGCTTCATTGGATCAGATGGCCAGCACTACTTTGAGACGAATGTCACAAGAATGCAACATATCGTTGGTCATTGTATTCAATGCGGTCAGAACTACATCATTTGGCACAATGGACAGTGGTGGAAGGTCTTTCAAGTCTTCCTTGAAGACAACTCAAGATGTTTCCACCATGTGTCGGATAGCTGCACCCGTGGCTCCAACTGCAACCAACCACATGGCCGCTCTGGCCATGAAAGTTCCGAGTCCCTGCAGAACGAGCTGGCGCAGGTGTTGATGTGCTTTCTCCGAGAAGCGCCACCGGTTCGACGCCCTCGGGCACTTGATGTCGAGTTCATCTACGTCTACGTTGGAATGCCGCCGGCCAGCATGAATGATCAAGTGTCCGAGGTGAATGGTCAGCCAGCAGCCGCTCACGTGCCGGAAGCCACTTTGGCGGCTCACGAGGAGGATGAAAATGCGGATATTGATGGAGTGCCAGAAGCTTCCGGGGCACCAGTTTCTGGGTCTGAGGAAGGTGCCAAGCCAGTGAATGACCCTGACGTCAGCGAGAATGAGAGATTGGCAACTGAGTGAGCAGAGTGACTGTGAGTCTAGAGATGTCAGCAAGGAGATGCACGACCTGCAAGTTGCTCCTATACAGAGTGCATCCCTTGCGTCGTTGAGATGCTTGCGGATCGAAGGTATCCAACCATCATATGGTAAGAGCACATCCTTAACCATCTTAACCCATCTTCGTTTTCTGGGTAGACGGCGTGTCTAGCTTTGCTTGATCTTTTTCGACGATCGGACGATCGGCAAGTATTTCAGTCACCTCGCGATCATTCGGTAGTCATTTTCCTTGATCTCTATTTGCTCGGGGTTGATGTTATCCAAACTGTCATGAAACATTTGTTCGGCAGAACTTGGATTCTGCCAGAGAGAACTACCTTAAGAAAATATTAGACGGCATATGTCCATTATGAGCTTGGGTGGGGATCAGCCAGTCAGACCCACTTGCTCATGGCCACCTGTTCCAATGGGCTTCGTTGCTGCATGCGGAGCAAAAAGTTTGCCATCAACAGACCCCCCCTGCTGGAACACAAGGGTCTTAGCAGAAGATCGGTATCGAACGGCCTGTTTGCCTCTCTGGGCCTTGTCCATCCTTGTCCTTTGCTTCTGTTCGTCCAGCATCTCGCAATGCTGCTGAGGCCACTCGCGCCTTCCTTTGCTGAAAACTCTTGTGGCAGTGGAGAAAAGTGCGTGCGAGTGAGACACACGTCTAGCCCGTAGAACTTCATGACGTATTGCAACATTGCAACAGACTTAGTGTAACGAAATCTGTTGCAAAAACAGAGGCACCAACAGACCCTTTGTCTTCAATATGTCCAAGATTTGCAGCTTTTTTGGCAAAGAGGGACATCTCAAGGATTTTTAGGTGTCAGACGATTCGCCTTCACCCGGTGATCAGAAGCTTTGTCGAGCCCAAACAGCCGTAGCATTTTGTAGCCAGGTCAATATCAGCTGAGACCTGACATCCAGGTGCGACCAATATCATTGGGAGGTTTCTTGTTTCCGACCTAAGTTTCCACAAAACAAAGAGTGGACATCTGGCTGAACACAAGGTGGGCAACCTTGAGCAGTAATAAGGCATGGGAACTGCAAAGAAGCTCCTACGAACACTGCCCCACATTCGTAGACATTTGCAAAGGGATTGCCTTTGGTGCATTTCAACAAGAGCACCAGAGTCAACACTTGACCTTCTTGGTCAATATCAGCAGGAGGTCACGAGCCTTTGAACAGAAAACGAGCCAGCATTTGGTCGTGGAGACACTCCGTTCGACACTCCGTTCGGAGCCATGGGCGGAGAGGATGAGGCAACACATGCGGCGCAGACACGCCGAAGTCAGGTTCTCGGTTCGAAGGCATCTATAATATTTACACACAATAGGAATGGATATGTATGTATATATATATATGTATTTATAGGATAATATAGGTGGATAGGTGGGCTTGTGTAAGAGAGGAGGCAAGACCACGAACTGAAGACCCTTTCTGGGTTTGGTCGCTGTACAAGATTTATGTCACATGTCATCTCATGTCATCATATGTCATCAGTATTCATTAAAAAACCATATTCCACCTCTTCTATCCTCTTTTCTATCATGGCAAACACCTCTTTTCAGGCCAGAAACATCTTGTCTTTGTCTCCCCCCCACAGCCTCCCGCTCGGTGGGGGGCCTGCCCTCGCCGTCGCCGAGGTGTGGATCTCGGCGAGTCCGTGGTACCGAGCTCGGAACGTGGCACCCGTCTCCGGGAGAGTGGGGAAACACCGAGTGGCCCGATCGCTCCCTGCGAAGTTCCGGGCCCCGAACGGGTGGCCCGAGGCGAGAGTTCACTCGGGGTGTTCCCACACCGAGGACTATGAGAAAATGCTGGCGGAAGCAGCTCAAGTTCCAAGCGCGGCGGCCCATGGCACCAAGGAAACGTTGTGTCAGATGGTGTCAGCAAAATAGACGAGTGTCGCAAGAGATGCAAGAGATGCCTTTTTCATCCTTTTGAAGTCCAGTTTGATGCCGTTCTATCCACGTAAAGTTGGGCATTGTGGCAGCAGATAAGGACAGAATGTAAGCCAATGTATTGTAAGCCAGTTTTTAAAGTCTAGGACAGTTTGCCGGTGGGGCAAGACGCTGGGAAAGTCATCCGAATTCGCTTAACAACATTGATGATTCCATGGCCTTGCCCAAACAAAGGCCGTTTTTTGCTTGCTGATTCGCTCCCCCCCCAAGTCTCACCGTCTCACCTCGCAACTTTTTGGCAGGATTTGGTCAGTAAGTGAGAGCAGAGGTGAATTCTTGGTCAAGCGACTGTGAGACACCAGGGGTTAATCAAGCACCATCAAGTCTCTCCATTTTAGGGTGCTCGTTCATTTCGAGACGGACCATGCACCGGGCCATTGGGCGAAAAGCGCAAGAAATCCATAGACTCAGAGTCAAACCTCTGTCGATACCTTGCGATGCCGAACAGAACATCCGTTCAGACCGTGGCCGCAGGAACGAACATCCGCAAAATACCAAGGCTTTACACCATTGCCAGGAAGCATCTCACAGAGTTGGGGAACCTAGATATTGGCAAGGCTGGCATATCTATGCATATCTCATGATGGCATAAAACAAAAAAGCGCACACAAAGACGGCATTTGTAAGTATAATTCATATGTATTAGACACATGAACATATTTAGACACACTGTCTACAACTCGGCCAAAAGGAAAGAAGGCAATGAGATCGCATGGGCAAATTTCGTTGCTCATGCCGGGGGTAGGCATATCAAAAAGTCGTAGATTCTGGGCCCAGGTGAACATGAGGTGCAAATGGCGTCCTTGGAGGCGGAATGAATTGATTCTGTCGACCAGTCTCTTTGCTGGTCTAGAGCAGTATAGTTTTCTTGATAGGTTAACAAGTTGCGAATCGTGACGCACGTGGTCAGTTTTGAGCCTTCAAGCATCAGAAACTGACCAGCTTGTGTTTAGCTGCCAGCTCGCTGGGTGAGAGCTCAATCCCGGGAGAAAGCCAGAAAGTCGGCCATTTCTCATCACAATATGAGTCATCCCATGGAACTAGCTCTGGATCCACTCCCCATTGTATTGGCAGGTTCGACTTCGACAGCGAGAAGCTCAGTCTTCGCAAACGGATCCATTTTGAGGCTTTGACTTGTTGAGTTGCTGGCTAGGCATTGCCTCGACATCATTGGGCCTACGGTCCGGAGAACAGCTGCCGGGGTCCTAGAGGAGAAGAGCATGCCCCAGTCACCCCAGCCACCCAAGTGGCGTGAAGCATACTGACAAGAAAGGCCTTGGAGAAAGAGGTGGTGAAGATCCAGGCCCCTTGGAAGCCTTGGCCCGATCATGTCATGCAATCCATCCTTCACCATGTTCATTTTGCTCAGATGCTTCAGCTGAGTGTTCTCCTGAATCTTGATTGGATGGAGGAAGACCTTCAGATCAAGTCCACCCATATCTCTGATTTGTTGCGCGAAGCCCAAGACTCCCAGTGGGACTGTTACCTCCCACTGAATTCCTGTCTCTGATTGTCAAGAGACTGGTCCTTTCGTGGGTCAGTGCAGACAGTGCAGACTGCACTCAAGTGGTCTTGTAGCCACGCAACTCTGAGGCTGACTGCTGGCAAAGTTGAGCAGCAGGCCTTTTGTGCACTCGACTCCAACTTGCTTTAAACATCTTTAAACAAAATATGTGTTACAGATCTTTTAAATATTATACTGATACTGATACTGATACTGACTGATACTCTATAAGTGCTCCCCCCGAGGTAGTAAGGCGGCAATGTAACTGTTGTTCTTGCCACAGCACTAGTGGTGAAAAATGATGGTTCAACGACCTTGCAATAAAGCAAAAAGGTCAGATATTCTGCAGGTGGCGAACATCGAGAACTTCCGATCAGAGTTGGCAAAGTATGATTCTGAACGAAAGCCCCGATCTCAGATCTCAGACATGAGTTTTGCCTGAAAACCCTAGAAGTCAATTGTTAGATACACTGAGGGTTCAAACAAAAGAGGTCTGACGTTTGGGTGGCTCCCCCCCGCTCTTAACAATCCGAGTTTCGGAAGGGTGTGATTTACATGGAAGTGAGTGCCAGAGTGGGGCTTTATCCGCTGCCCAGAAACCGCGAGGCAATGGCAAGCCACGGCGACGGACTCCTTGAGCTGCATGAAGCAGGAGTCGGAGAGATGGAAAGCATGGCAGGGAGAGATGGCGATAGGAAGGCCGAATAACCTATGGGAATGCTGTGTTTCTTTTTTGAGGAGGTTCCATCTTGATTGCCTTTTCACCCCCAAGTTTCAACTGAGCCATTTGATGCCCCATGTCGACTTGCAATCCATTCCAATCCTTGCCTCTCAATCTTTGCTCAAGCGTTGGCTTTGTTTGGGCCATTTGTGTCTCAGGAAGAGCTTGAGGCACAAACTGGCACAGTAGATCACAGTAGGCATACATGGTGGAGCATCTCTTGGCATGGAACCTGCGAAATGACTTTCTCCGTCACTGGGCAAAAAGCACGTCAACAACGACTGCGACTTGCAACTTCATGTGGATGTCAAGAAACATATTGAGACCACCGGCATAGTGGGCTTCATCAAGGTTTTGTTTATTCTTAAGGAGTTTTTGGAATATAATTTTTCAATTATACTGTAAGCCTTTGCTTTAAGCGATGCCTGTTGACTGCAAGGTCTCCTGTAAGCATGAGCCTTGCTTGGCACTGGCAGAGGTTGGCCTGACTTTTCACTCCAATGCTCCCTGGGCTTTGCCGGCTTTGCTTTCGAAGAGAGGCCTTACATTTGCAAAATCTGGAGAGCAGGCATTGCTGAGTGCCTGGCGTCCCCGTGGCGGACCACCCTCTCAACGTCACCGTCCAAAGCCGCCAGCGAGCGGGCCTGGCGGGCCTGGCGCCGTCGATGTGGAAGCCAAGCACCGGGGAGTCATCGAGCTTCGTCGGATCAGCACTTGTCGAGAACTGGGAAACAAGAAGCAGCTTGCTTTGTACTTGGAAGTGGCAGGCGCAAGCAGTTGGGCTCCAAGAACTTTTCTCAAGCCAAATGACGTGCTCGCCGCCGGCAAGACCGATCAATTGTTTTTTCTGAAGCATGCCTGCCGTGAACGCAATGAGGGGGTCAGCGTTCACTTGGGGGCTCAAGCCTGTCACACTGCGTGGACCAATTTGCCTCCAGAGGAGCAGGACGAGTATGTTGCGCAGCAAGAGGTTGCTGGAGTTCTTCTGGATCACGACGGTCGAAAAGTCACGCTCAGAATATACATACTACTGCTATTTAATCAAAGTTCTCGCAGGGTCCTTGCCCTTGTGCGTCGTGATTTTGTTTGCAGATCACATCCCCTTTGCTATGATGCCACAGATCCAGATCCTGCTCGGCATGTGCACTCCACGCTGGATGTGTTTAAAGAGGTTCATGGGATCAGCAGCTGCGCATGGCCTCACTCAAAGACCATCTGGCCGGAGGTCATGAGGATGTTTCAGGCAGGGTCATTTTGAGTATGTCGAGAAAATAACAATTAGAGGCAAAATAAAACATAACAACGTCCAGGGGGTGTTTAACGTTTATGAAAGCATTTGGTTTTATGGTGTCCTGTATACTGTATATACTTGTGAGATCCAAATTGTGCGAAATGACTATTGGGAGACAGTTTGGAGGCTTGCCTCAGTCCCTTCCTTGAACGCTTTGCTTTGGCTGAAGATGAGCAAGAAGGCCTGAAAGCTTCAAGCCATTTCTCTCACATCATTTCTGCTCATCGCTGCAGAATTTCTGACATGTTCTGATCAAAGACTCCCTTCGATACAGACCTTTTTCCTCCACTTTTTCCCATCCACTTCTCGAAGCCTCGAACGCTTCGAGGACCAGTGAGCTTCGAACTCTTGGGAGCAGACATTTTGGTGGACCAATCCTTTCGACCTTGGCTGCTGGAGATGAACCAGGGACCGGCCTTGCTGCCCATCAAAGGCCGAGGGGAGGGACCACAAGAGTGGGCGAGACATGGCGAGACTTTTGTATGTCGGGCCAAACATGGATTTTGGGTGGCTTTTTGGGATGTGTCATTCAGGAGGTGAATGAAGATTCATGAGTTTTTCAGTGATCGCCAGAACAGAGAGAAGCTGGTCTCCTCAAATCTTTGTGCGCCAACATGCCAGCCTTCACACGCCGGAGATCTCGTTGGCAGGCAATCCGTCAGCCACTGCTGCTCGGACTGCTGTGATGGAGGATACCTTGCAGGCCAGCCGATCAAAGGAAAATGAAGGGTGGGAGACGGTCGATGATACTTCAGAATGCGAAGACCCAAGCAGGTCATTTGCTCTTTTGAGGACGTTGGATGAGGATACACCTCCAAGTCTCATTGATTCCACCAGTCGGATGGGTCCTAGGGGTCCTAGGTTTGGAGTCTGGTTAGGGGGTCTCGCTATTTTGGAGATATCAAACCATCATGTCATAAGATGTCATAAGCTCAATAACAAGTATGTGGCCGCTGTGCCCCCCACGCCCGCTGTGGCCTGTGTTCTTTTTAGCCATTCCACCTCTGGTTAGAGAGACTACCGCAATCACATAGGACAAGTAGGTGCCTGAGAGTAAGAAGATGCCTTGTTGGTTGATATGGTTCGGCATTCTCACCCAGCTACTCATAGTTTTGACAATCCCTCAGATGACAGCCCATTGGTTTGGGGCCGATTTGAGACCACGTGGCATTTGCGCAGAATAATCATGAAATCAACAGAGCACCTTTCTTGCGCATTTCGGCAAACGAAGGTGGTTCTGGACCCAATTCTTCAACACCATTGTTTGCAGGAGGCCGGCCGAATCCTGCATCGTGGCCTTGTCACTGTTCTGTTGCCGTTGCAGACCAATCCTTTGCAACTTGCAGGTGTGGGCAAAGGCACACAGAACAGAAGCCTGGGACATAGTGGCAGACTGGAGTGCGCCTTCAGCTGAAAAAGGTGCTGTGGCTTCTTGCTGGCTGGCTTGCAGAAACAACTTCACACCATGCACGTCCAGGACCTTCGACCTTCGTGTAGAGCCTTCGTATGTTCTGTCTAGGACCTTGATGTCTTCCGGTATGAGTTAGAACGCAACACACTCAGCTGCTTATGGACCAATACCAACCTTCTTTTTGGAGCGCTTCCTGGGTGTGATTCGAAAAACGTCACGAAACTCAGGTATGGATGCATACGTTCAGGGTGCCCAACGCACTGTGGATCGAGTGGTGGGAGAACTAGGCGAACGATGCAGCTTGCTGCAGCCTCAGCCAGCGAGACCGCCTCGGCCAACCGATGAGGCCGAGTGCAGGACATTGGCGATGCGTGTTGCACTCAGAGGGTCTGTAGAAAACACATGTTTGACATGGACCCAACGGAACTACACCGTGTAAGTTGCACTCTTCCCTATGCAAGAAGATGCAAGAAGTCGCATTTGATCTGAATCAAAACATGACATGCATCAAGCAAAGACACAGAAATAAAGCCGTCCCTTGGAAGGATGGAAGAACCTTTTATATCCTTTTATTTGGAACATGATCGAAGGAGCACGAAGCGGATCGAATCGGTCTTGGATCAGAACGACCGAGCTCGACCGAATGAGCTGCCGAGCTCGCTTGGCTCAGGCTCAGAGCAGACACGAACAAGCGCCTGTGCCAGCAGAACAAGATGCTGAATGTCTTCAAGACAGACTTGGAGGCATGGTTGAAGACAAAATCAACTTCCTACTATAGGTCCAGGAAAAAAAGAGGTCTTCAGTCTTTTCTTGCGATGGCGGTATGGTTTCCAGGTGAAGCTGGTGAGTGTGGAAAATAGATACAACAAGCTCAGTGATGACCTGTGGAGTGAAGAGACAGGCGGGGTGTGTGTGTAGTTTTTCTGTGTCGCAACTCTGGCACAGCTGATTTGTCGAGCTCTCAAGACTCTTGAGGTCTTGCAAAGGTGATGCATGACCTATCACGCACAAATGAGGTCGTTGGCGGCTAAGGTGCCCTTTCTTAACACATGAGCAGACCAAATCTGATTGAATATATAGGTTCTTTGGACGAAGCTTGTTTGGCATTCACCAGAGCTTTAAGATGCTTTAAGCTTACACACACACACACCCAAAGAACCACAGGTTTGTATCCAAGAATCATAATCTCAGCCATCTCAACAGGATTCACCATCGGCAGACAGGGTTGAATTCGCTCACCTGCCCATCCTCAGGTCACCAGCATGAGCACCGAGTTCAGCTCTATGAAGCATATCAAGGCGCGAGTCAGCCTGGCCAGGGAGAGATTTGCTCCTTCGTTTGCCAGAAAATGCCCGAACCCTCCAAACATCTGGAAAGCATCATATACGTGATACGTGCATTAATATACTGCATAGTTGTAGTTGTATGTTGTATGATGTTATATGCGTATGACATTACTGTAGGGCTTCCTTCTTTCGCCCATGGACAGTTCCTTTGTTACTGAGAGCATGTGGAAATTTGGTTCTTCTTTCAGGTCACTGGGATTTGATGAGATTTGTGCATGTATATACATATATGTATATAATTGTATATATATATATGTGTGTGTGTGGGTCCTCATGATATGTTTGATTTGACAGGTGCCTTTTCAGTCCCTTGTTCAATACAAAAAAAGGTCCCTGATATCGCCAATCTGTCACAGAGGCATTTGCCCGCCTATCCAATCCTATCCATGCCTCAGGCAAGCATCGCCCAGCTGGAAAAGGTTCAGGAGGAGGTCAGTGACGACCTGTTTTTGGTTTCGCCGTTTGGTTGGTATTTGAACCAAGAAGTTGGACCCACCCTTGTCGAAGGTCAACAACTTTACTCTGGAGACCAGCAACAATGTGACCGCCTTGCAGCAGACGGTTGACAGGACTTGGGAAAGACGCGAACTTGCGAACATTGCGCAGTCACTTGATCCGGAGGCCTGAAAAGCCATGTACTACTGTATGGTACATTGAGTATCAGAAGTGGTGAGGATGATGAGCGACATGAAAGAGCACTTTCAAACGGCCACCAATACCGTAGCAGCGCACAATGCTGCGATGCTGCAAGAGGCGAAGAAGATTCGAGTACGCGTGATCGAAAGCGCGATCGCCGCGGACGATGAACTCACCTCCCAATTCACCCATATATTATCATATATGTCTCTTTCTGTGTTTGTGGTCTTCTCATGGTTCTCCTTTATCATGCCAAGGTACCCAAGTGCGAGCTTAGTGGAAGGGACACCATGAACCAGAAACGAGCTGAATGACCCTGAAAGACATGGTATACACGACATTCTTTCCCAACAATATATTGTTTTCTTATTTTGGCACAGGGTATCTATCGGCTGTTTCTTGAAATATGTTCACATGTTGCAAGGTGAGAACAGCGTACCAGGAGGAGTGCCGTGCCCAGGGCCACACCGCGGAATTTTTGGTCAGAAACAGCCTGTGAATTGCCCAGGCTACATGAGGCTGCTCAAGTGCGACAGAAGGCACAGTGAAGAAAGACATGAAGAGTAGATTCGGTCTAGAGATCTGTTTGATGTATCCATGCTGTTTTGGAGAGATGGTGTTTGATGCTTCGATCGTCAGTCGTGCAGGTTGACGAATTTATGCAGTCTGAGCGAGCCTGCCTTATGAGAGATCCTGCGATTTGCTGCACAGCGTGCCCACTTTGCTGCATCCTTTGAGCCTCTGCAACTATCCCAGGTGAGTATCGGCGAGCCTTGGAGGAAAGCATTTGCGGCATTGGCCTGTTTGCCTCTGAAGAGCTGCACACAGTTCCGATGGGTTTCATCGTGGCAGGTGCTTCACAGGCACAAACAGAAGACTTGGTGAGACAGGCCTGCTGCAGTTGATCAGATGCGCTGACTAAACCCCACGCTTGAGAAAGGAAGGGAAGGGAAGGGAAGGGAAGGGAGGGCAGAAAGAAAGAAAGAAAGAAAGAAAGAAACCGAGCAAGCGAGCGAGCGAGAGAGAGAGAGGGAGGGAGGGCCAGGGCCAGGGCCAGGGCCAGAGCCAGAGCCAGAGCCAGAGCCAGAACCAGAAAGAGAGAGGGAGAGGGAGAGGGAAAGAAGGAGAGGGATAGGGAGAGGGAGAGGGAGAGGGAGAAGGAAGCAAGGAAGCAAGGTTTGCAAGGACATATAAAAGACACAAAGAAAAAAAAGAAGAACAGATATATAAAAGGGAAGAAAAGCGAAAAGTGAGAAAGGAGACAGATGAAAAGGGAGAAGAGAGAAGGGAGAAGAAAGAACAGAAAAGAGGAGAAGAACAAGAAAGAAACAACTTCACCTGCCTTTCACATTGCGTTTGTTGAGTTTGCGATTTGCACCCTTGGCGTTTCTGTTCGACTTGACCAACCTGCTTTCGAGGTGACATCAGAGGTGGAAGAGGTTGGCCAGCAACCAAGCGAACCTATGTGTGTTCATGTGTGTTCACACGTGTTCACGCTTTTCAATCGAGCTGGACGACATATTTAGGTCATAGATGAGAGCCTGTTGACCAAATATGTCCTTTTTAATCCTTTTTTCAAGCTGAACATTTGGTCACCCAAGCCTGGCAAGCCTGCGGTTCGTGTGTCACCCACTCGGCTGGGAAGCCCCCTCTTCTCCGAGGGAAGCTGAGAAGACGGGATCGCAATAGCCAAGAGGCCACCGAAGTGGGTTGGAGCCACGGCTTTGGATGGCTGGTTCGCATGGAATGGAAGCACTCAGTTTAGACCTGGTAAGCATATCGAATCCAGAAATCGATGGCGGATGGCATGGTGGATGGTGGGTGTAGTGGTATCAGGGTCAAGGCCTTTTTGGGAAAAGCTGCAACCTGAGCAAGCAATGCGTTGAACACACCTTGTAATTAACCTTGACCAACGGAGACACAGATTGGCCCTCTTTGCTAGGTGGAGATCAAAGGCGTTGCCAAGCAACTTGCAATCGTGCCATGATCCCAGACGGAGTCCAAGGCAGCTGCGAGATGTGAGGTGTTCTTTCCAGCAATCGAAGCACAATTCTTATGATTGGCTATGTCTGTTGCTTTTAACATGTGGCTAACAGCTTGGATTGGCAATGTGGCTATGTCTTGAGAGAATCTTCTCAACATGTTGGCTATGTCTGTTGCCTTTTAAGGCAAGAATCCTCTCAACATGTGGCTAACAGCTTGGAACACCTCAGCAGGGTGATGTGGACAATGGCGCAGGACTCAGACGACACCTCGTGCAAAGAACACCTCAGCTGAGACTGCGTTTTCAGTCGTTTCTTCCACGCATACCACTTCTCCCCGTAGCCTCCCGTCGGGGGCGTTTGTGGTCGCATGCGGAAGAGAGAAGGAGTCGCATCCCACATGCAGAGATGGTATCTAAGGTGCAATGCGAGAGGGCGGCATCAGCGTTCTTTGCATAGCATATTATGTGAGCTGGTATTCTCAATTAAGAGTCTTCGCTCACTCCAACCGCAACTCAAGAGTGTTGTTTATTACTATTCGAAGACCACACTGAACTGTAGACTGTGCCCAACCAAGGCTTGACCTCCAAGACGATCAAGATCGGGCCAAAATTGCGCTGATGGGCTATAAGGCCATGGGGCCATGCGCAGATTGGCTGAAGGCATTTTGAACTGAGCAAGATTTTGACCTTTATCTGGGTATAGCATTTGTGATACCATCCCAATACTGTGCAGGAGGAGACATCGGAGAAGACTAGAGGAGGCCATTGGTATAAGCTTCTGTCCGTTCAGTGACACTGCGTGGTGAATCAGTTGTGGTTTGGTCATGTGTCCACGGACGTCCCCATGTTTGGTTCTGCTGCTTAGCGCACTCCGCAGGAGGAAGGACCCGGAGAAGTCGAGCTTCTTCGCCCCAACCAGCTGAGCAGGCCGTGGCCAACGAACAAGGGTGGCCTTCAACGAACAGAGCATTTTTGTAGATTGGGTGAAGGTTGGGACGGATTTCTGGGATTTGAACAGCTTCCACAGCGTCATTGAAAAAGTTCGGGCCCAGGGTTACTTGGGAGGGAATGTTGGCACAGGCAGATGGTCAGACAGTCATCAATGTGGATGAGCGCTGTTTGAGCTGCTGCGGCAAAGCGCAAACGGTTCTTTCAGGAGGGGCAAGCGGTGGAAGCACAGAGACCGAGCACAGACAGAGACCAATTTGTGTGCATGGAGAAAAAGAAAACCCCAGCCGTAAGGGTGAGATGTCACTGGAGAGATGTCAGAGATGTAAGAATCTGAAGATTGGGACCTCGAAGATTGTGCATGCGATGACATTGACAGCCAATGCTCTCTTTTGCTCCCCGCAAAAGACACGTGTTACGAAATCTCAGTGCGATCACGGTGCCCAGATTTCTTTGACCACACTTTGACCACACCAGGGTCACAGATTTTGACCACACTTTGCCCAGACTTCTTTAATCTTCTTTGGTCAAATCTCTTGAAGGATGGCTTGACCGACTTTGGACCCACTACTTGACAGGCTTCAAGATGGCTTGCCTCCAGTACTCCCCGGCTCCGGTGGTCTTTGCGTCCGCGCCTCACCGAGACGCACGCCGCGGCTCACGGCTGACCGCTCGCGGCTCGGTGAGGCGAAAGACCTACAACAGATCGGACCTCTTAGGTGTCCGAGAAAAGATGCTCTTGCAGGTGGGGAGATGTGGGGAGGAGCGGAGTGGCATGAGGCTTGACTGAGTCAGGTGGGGAGTCTGGAGAAGTGGCATGAGGAACATGGTGGGAGTCAGGTCGGAGTCTGGTTACAGGGAAACATATGGAAACATGGGAAGTGGCATGAACATGGTGAGAAAGAAGGGGCAGCCAAGATTGGTCACACTGATGAAACAGATTGGCGAAGCAGCTGAACTCAAAGGTATGCAAGAAAGCTCAACTTTGTGCCCTGTGGCAGGTGCACGAATCTCTGGAACATGGACCGGTCAGCTTTGATAGAGCAGACATCTTTGGACAGACAAATGCAGCACCCATCTCATCAGGCCGCTTCTCAGCACTCTGATCCTGCCAATCCACTCATCTAGGTTTTTGTTGCACATGGTTGCAAAGGTGCAATCGTCGACTCCTTGACCAGAGAGGAACGTTCGCATCTCAGGGCCATGTGCTTCCGTAAGGTGCAATCAAAGTGCCCACTGGCTGCACATACTCTTATGATGCCAGGCTTCTAGTTTTTCCCTTTTAATCACCATCAAAAAAGCAACCACTAAAAGCAGCGATGACCAATTAAGTAGAGAGCGGTGGTGGGATATAGGATCGGTTTGAATCCTGGAAAAGAAGGAAAAGTGATCAGCCCTGTCAAAGGCGACAACCATGCATTAATGCAGGTTATGACATGTTCAGCAGTTTTGAAAGTGTGGGCGGCCGACAAAGCGACAGGCCGCGTTTCAAGCGGCATTTCTTCATGTCCTCTTCGTTACCCAGCGGTTTTGGCAGCATTGACATGTCAAGGCCTGGACAGTCGCAGTAGCCTGGCTGGCAGCCGCGCCAGATCCAGTCCGCTGACCATGCCGCCCATACCCACTCCGTCGACACCTGAGCACTGCTCTGCAGTTGCCATCAGCAGATTTAAAAGATTTGAAAAGTGACTTCTTGCATCTTCTTGCTATGCCATGCCATGCTAGATGTGGGGATTTGGAGACCAATTCAGAATTCATCCTTGATTTGGCCCAAAAGGACAGCCGGACATGGATGATTCTACGATGGCTTGTCCTCCACGTATCGGGTGAAACTTGGAGTGACACTCCTAAGGCGGTCGACCTCAGTCAGCTGAGAGTTGAGTGCACAAAAAGAGAGCTCACACTAGAGCTCCTTGTACAAAGCGCAGCTTTCCCGTGGTTTTGCCAGGTTGAAGTCAAACTGCAGCACTACTTACTGAGCAAACGGTTGAATGGACGACAACGTGAAGCACAGGCCGTCAAAGGAGTAGTAGTATTTACTCTTCTGTCTGAACCCCACCCAAAAGTCACATTGCCGTCTATAGGAACCCGGAAAACCAAGGTTGAACCCGATGCTGCAGTTGGGATGCCTGCCAAACCATTTGTCTCACAGTATGGCTGCTTGGCGCACTGTTGCCGCACTGTTGCCGTTCTGATGCAACAGCTAACGTGACGACATTGAGGGTGTACAAGAAGCACACGCGTTCCAAGAAGCCCAGTATCGGTAGTCCATCGTGGCCCGGAGCTTCTCGCGCAGAACATCTGCCCGGAGAGTCTCGAGAGTCTCATGTCCGTCTGACTCGTTGCGAAGACACGGCGAAGACTTGGCTGAGTCAGGCAGTTGAGATTTTCATAGATTTTCATAGACATTTTGAGCAAGAATCCTGAAACATGGTAGGCCAGTGAGGACCACTTGACCACTTTCATCCCCTTCATGGAGTTACCTTCTGCAGTGGCATTTCCGATGAGACAAGATTCCTCCGTTCGCTCTTACTCTTCAGATTCGAGATGTGAATCGCGCGGAACTACGTGTTTCGCGCGTGTTTGCCTGACATGTACATCCAGATATCCAGAGAGACTGCTACAAATGGGCCAACAACACCAGGTGTCAATGGCATTGTCTTCACTGCTATGCCAGTAGCTCTTGAGCATCTCACAGTGTTTCCATACTTGATCATGTTGCAGCGTGTGGAGAAGGAGACACTCTTCAAACATGCAAACGTGTTGTAAAGGATTACGTTGAGTGGATGAACGTGCCGTAACTTGGCAGACACTCGACTGTTACGATCGCAGTACGAACGCGCGCTGTCCGCAGCTTTTGGTGGGGCTGGGGGATGTGAAGAATCCACGGAACGATGCCACCACCGGCCACATGGCCACCGGCATCCACCAGCTTCCGCTTCGCCAACGAGCCCTACAGGGTCTCCAGGAGACGGACTGCTACAGACCGGTGAACGTTTCCAACTGCGACAGACTGGAAAAAGAAGTCGACTGCTTAATTACTTGCAATGACAGGTCGACTTCATTTTGCCTCGTTTGCGTGGAGGGTCGGGCACAGAAGAAGCTGAAGTGTGACATATAGTCATATAGTGTATATAACTCCGGTCGAAGGACGCTTGTCCCGAAGGAATGCTCCCATCCATGGCCTCAAAGGAGCCGCTTTGGAGCGCTACTTGACGGGAGGCTACTTGACGGTGCAAGGTCCGCCATACGCCATCCCGGAGCCGCGAGCTGATGAGCTTGTGGTCAAAACTTGACGAATACATTCAACGGTAAGTGGCAGCTTTGCCCTTCGGGGAAGTACATGGTTGACATCCAAATAAGAGCGAAACCTGCTTCCTGGGGTCATGACCAGTATGGTATTCGACGCACTGGACAGAGATGTTATAGTCTTGTGAAAGATGGGAGCTTCTTGCGACAAACACATGAATGGAAAGATCGTGGGAAAGGGTGCTTGCTTTGTTCTTCCAACTGCTGCATGCAGTTTGAGATGTGACAACATGATGATGAAAACAACTATAGGTGAAAAAGTACATTCAGCTCCGACAATGTGCAAACGAGAATCAACGTTGCAGAATTTTGTTTCTTCTTGGCAAGCTGTGGCCGGTCTGATCATGACTCGCAGTCATTGGTGAAGATACTTTCATGATCTTTCATATATGTGTAAATCATCTTGCTATATAGTTTGTAAAATGTTCGGATCAGCTCTTTCTCGAAGATGCAACTAAGTAAGCATCTATAGTTGCGCTGTCAGGTCAGTCATTGACATTTATTTGTGTTAGTGTTCACAGTATTTTTGGAGGATTTACAGTGTACCATGTCAGTCAAATACCACAAAATACATAACAATGACAATGACATGAGTCGTTTTCACCGGCAGCCCTTAGACCCTGAAAACATCTCCGGTAGTCGTCGTACATCGCAGCCACGCGATGGAAAGAATCCTGGAAGTGGATGGCACCACCTGTTTGTAGAGGAAAGGTTCATCCGAACTCGGGGCCGTTGGCGTTCTCCACCTAAAACCATGATGATTTCAGGGAGTGGAGTGTTATTTTCTATTTATTTAGCTCTTCAGGCCATTCAACTGCAAGGAGTCGGGCATCGCCATTTCCAGGTGATCCCAGGATTCGCTCCAGCTTCGATTGCCAAGTCCATCCACCAACACACAAACAGCATCAAACAATATCAAGCAGCGTCACCCAACACATCATCAAGCAGGAAGACACAGAGCACTTCCAGTGGCTTAGTTCGCCATTTCCAAGGCCACAAAGAAAGGAACCGTGATGGCAATGCTTCACAGCTGGACTCAGTGGAATTGGTCCGTTCTCTTCCCTCGCAGTTCGGACTGCTGGGAAGACACTGAACACTGAAGACCACATCATGCTGCCTTTTTGGTTATGCTGATGGCATGTCGTTTGATTCACAGTCTGGTCGGTCATCGATTGAACCACGAGCCTACGTAGTTCGGGCTGTGAACATTGAAGAGCATGCTGAAGAGTGCGAAACCTTTGTTGAATGTCAGCACAGAAATGCACTTCAACATCCAACTGCCAGCTACAGCACCTTAGTTCTGGCCGGAATAGGCATCAAACAATGGATTGATAGGCATCCAAAAAATATAAGAATCAATCATTTACTCTACTTAGAGTGATCCCCACCCTCCAACAAAATATAACAGCAAAGGACTTGGTGTAAAGGGGCGTAGAGGCACAGGCAGAGAAGGTCTCCTTTCAATCCCTCACAAAAAAGGACCAGACATGGAATCATGATGAATCATGGGATCCCGAGTTCTGATTGCTTCTATCGAGTACCTATGAACTTAAACATGATCATACACGATCCATCATCATGATCCATCTTGTGGAGACTAGCACCATCCGAATTCACCACCGCGCGGCCGATGAACCACACCAGCAGCAGTCAACATGGCTGTTTGGAGCCCAAGCACTTGCTGAACTGGTCAGGGCGGTTCGTTTGCTCATTTGCATTCATTTGACCAGTGGACAAGCTGGGCGGGTTCGATCTTAGGTCAGGTGCAAGATGGCCCTTGGTTTAATCATAAATGGTTCATGTCAATGTTGAAGCAGCCAGACACCCTTGTTCTCCTTCGTTCCTCTGATCGATCAGGCTTCTGCTGGCGGATTCTCATCGTGGGAGACCCAGCGGTCGGTCGCATTGTCAGACCCGGTCGGGGTTCATTGGTTTGCTCGGTTCATGGGACCAGACATGTGTCTGGGTATTATGGGTTCAATTCGTGACACCAGGAAGATGAAACATGCGGAATGATCATATATGAGCAGCATCACATACATTACACACATATATATATATAGTATATAGATTTATTTTTACATACATACTGTATGTATAATTCTAATATAACTAATTGAAAAAGGCTCGTGCCAAGTCCTGCGATCCATTTTTGAAACTTCAGTCATTTGTGTGCAGCGATTCTGGGACAACGGCAGTCTTCGAAGCGCTGTTACCAACTGACTGAAATGTGGAACTTGAGCTGGCCAGCGTGGGCAGCTACAGGGCGTGGGGTGTGTATTGCATTTTCGGTGACCCTGGAGGATCACATAGACTAATATAATTTAGGTCCTGGGTGGGCCTCTTTATTGGATCCCCCTCTGTCAGAGATGTGTACCTATCCAGGACTATTTATACAATGTTGGAATACAGATCTAAGTACTGCTAGGATCCAGGCTGCAAGACCCTTTTTGCTCATTCATCCATCCAATTCCGATACCTCAGCGGTGGATTGAGGGCAAGTGCTTTTGGAATTGTTTTTGTCTCGTTTGCTTCCTGTTGCTTCTGAGGCTTTTGGCGTCTTCGGCTCATCCGTTGCTTCCGTTGGCTTTTGGCGTCTTTGGCTTGTCTGTAGCTTTTTGGCTTTTGTTGCCTTTGTGGCTTTCTGGCTTCTGTCATCTTCTGTTCTGTGGCTTTCAGCATCTTTGGCTTGTGCGGATTTTTTGCCAGATAGAGCTATTGGGGTTCTTACTTCAAGTATGGGAAGAGGTGTTTGTGTGCGCTGCACGGGGCCTGAGTGCTGGTGCCGCTGCACAGTACTGCTGCCCATGATTTTTTGCTATCTGGGGTCTATGCTGGCGTAGTTGTTTTTGGTTTGGCTTGCGTGACTTTTGTGACTTCTGTGGCTTTTGGTTTCATGAATGTCCAAACTCTAGGAGGAGCTACCCAGCAAAGTCGAAGAGCAACAAGGAAACTACAATACGTCTGCACACTTGTACATCTACATGAATTTCCAAACTCCAGAAAGAGCTGCCTAGCAAAACCGAAAACAGCAAAATTTGTATTCAATACAAACAAACAATCCGACATTAACATTTTCGCCGCGGTGGATTCGCCAAGAACCACACGACCCCAGCTGGGATGACCCACGAAGCACCAGCCAGCTGTTTTTGTTTTCCACCGCTTCCTCGACGTGCTGATGAATTTCATCACCACTTGCTGTTGCTAGTGTTTGTTTTTTCAAGAACTTGAACCTGGCGGACTTTTGATAGAGATTGCCTGAACATTTGTGCCTAAATCAATAGCAACTAGCATGAGTGTTCCACCGCACACCACGATAAATCCGTGGTCCACGTAATTACTTGAATCAGTTGGACTCTTTGATGTGGAAGCAGGTGACATGCGATCGCAACAAAAATAGAAAAGGAAACACACACACAACACCTGTCGGTTCACATCATGGATCTCCGATTTCCCGGCTCGGCTCGGGCCGTTCGCCGGTGACTTCGGCGGTGACAGGGCTGCGATTGCAGAGTTGATTCCCTCAAAGTCTGAAGTGGTGCAGAAAGCTCTTCGACCAAGGCAG